GGCTCACAGTGACATCATAAATCCACAGTGGCATCAGTCCTGCTACAACAACTGACTCTAAATGAAACGGTCGGCCACAGTTTCTCATTTACAGGGATTAACCTCTTTTATCCTAATTGGCAGAAGCTCCTGCGGTTGAGAAGCTGCCCCCTCTCCCTCAACAAGTCGGCTTTACAGCATGGGTGGTCCTGCCCGAATGTTTATGGCTCACATTTCTCTCGCTCTCTGGCAGCCACCTCTGCTCCTGCATGTTCACAGAACAGCAGCACTGTTGTTTTTCACGGACGTTTGCCTCTGTCAGTCCTGGGGAATAATAGAATACACAGAAAACAACTTTCATGGATGATTTAATCCAGCGTTTGCAACCGTTTCAGACTCCATTGTACTGAAGCAGTGATATCATTGAATGTCCCTCAATAACCATCAAATGTGATGGTTGGTGCACACACACACACACACACACACACATATTTCCTGTCTCGTGGCCGTCTTTTGACTCTGACAGTTGCTGACAGTCTAAAATCTGCATCTGCGTCAATCAAACCTTTGGCAGTAGCTGACCTGTGCTTCTTTTATATTTACTATTGCAGAGCAAAGAGAATGGAGCTGCAGATCAACAGCAGAGGCGTCTGTGTGATGATGTTTTAACAAGCGGCCGCAGTGAATCAGTATTCTCTGGGTGCGTCTTGCACGTGGACAGATTGAGAAGTGACTCGTTAATATACAGACTTATGCTTGAAATATTAAGTCAGAGTAAATAAAGGGGGTGATGGTTGTGGCTCAGATGGTAGAGTGGGTCGCCCACTAACCAGAAACTTGATGGTCTGAACCCCAAATTGTGGGTAAGGGTTTATGACCAGCCACCAGGGGGCGATCAAGATAGTTTGGCTTCACTTTTGGGCAGCTGTCATGCCGTCCATCCCAATATACAACCCATGAGGGACAAGGTTGAAACTGCTGCTCTATGGCTGCAGCAATAACCGAACATTGTTCCAGAGGTCAAACCTTTTCTCTGATATTTTCTGAGATAGCAGAAAGTTTTCCGGAGTACTCTCCAGGAATTAAATTCCTCTGAGCTGTGGTAGATTGAACCAAGGTGAGTCACTCTGGTACCAATCTTTGATTCAGCTTCACTGCCTATTCCATTTATTTCAAAGGCATCATTCAGCACTCTCTCAGGCTGCCATGACTATAGATGTGTGGAAGTGTCCAATATGAAAAGTGGAAAAATAATTAACTAGACAGTTTCTCTCTCTGCTGTAGTTCCAGCGGGCAGAGAAAAATAGTACGTGAAAGTTCAGTGGACTGAGGATGTGTTTCCTAACAGCAGGATTTTGGCCACTTAGAGAGAAATGTGGAAACAAGCACTGTAAACATGACAATATGTGACAATTGCAACTTTGTGTGGAGACATTTTAACATTTGTACAAACTCATCAAGCACAGAGAATGAAATAATTTGTGTTTGTGTCCACCAGCTGAATGTAAACCCAATATTTATTTTACTCTTCCAAGCTGTTTTCTAAAACAACACAACAGTACTTGTGTACTTCAACATTTAGTTGAGTAGTTTTGACCAAAGGGACACAACAAATTAAACAAAAACATTTACATTTGATCACTTATAAAAGTTGGACTCTTGGACTATTTTTGGAAGCATTAGCCTATTACAATATGTACAATATGTAACTTTGGCCACTGGCAGTTTCTCAGTCAATAGAATAAAAACTCAGCTGCAAATCCTGTTAAATTAAAGTTTTATTCACAAAATATATTAGTGAAGTGATATCTATAAGTGTTTGCAATTTAGTGATTTGAATTCACAGGGCCATAATAACTTCTTCTCCATGTTGGGTTTCAAGGTTCATTCTTGACCATGGAAAGAATAGTGGACAAACAATGCCATCAAAAAAATCTCTTCAGTTGATTATCAGATCTTCAAAAGCATGAGCAGGCTTTCACTGTAACAGACGGAACATTAAATCCCAACGCATTTAATTAGCTTCCCTCTATTAAATTGTCTGTCAAATGGAGTTTAGGATCACACGACAGGATCTGCAATTCCAGGACAACATTACGGCTTAAATTCATCACCTTATTAAGATCATATTATGTGATATGAACAAAAGCATCTGATACTAAATAATGTTTTCTTTTTCTATTTTCATATTTCTATAGAAAATCGTGTTCAGTAGGCTGTGGTTCTCTGTTGAAAAGTCATGTACTTTGCAAAACTTTGATTTTAGCAAAGGTCATTTCATGCACATAAAGAGGACACTGTCGAGCTAGAGCCGTTTCATTAGCCTGTATATAAACAGGCGTGTTCTCAATATATCAATAAAACTCATAATTAAAATGGATTCCTTTGTTTCCCTTTCCTCCACGTCCTCTCTTAAGAAATTCAGAGAACACGGAGATAGGCTGAAATTGCCTCTGTTATCAGTCTGACACTAACTGCTCCCTTAAGAGATCTTAACAAAGCCACGCATCGACATAACAGATCTAATCAGGAGAACAGCAACGTCGAGGCCATTTCTGTAATTTCAATAGAATCAGTTGCATCAATTACATTATTTAAATAAGCCATGTATGAAGCTTCTACCATAATATTGGTATTGCAGATTTATGGCACGTATCAGAGCGTAGCAGCAGTTATGCTATCACATTTTCTGCCATTGTTCCCCAATGCTTAGACGTCACTTGTTTGAATAAAGCAGAGAATTGTTTTTTTATTTTTCAATTTGCAATTGTTACGTTATATTTTTTAAAATCTTGATTGAGATGAGTCGGAAACAGGACAATGACCAAAAAATCACCAAGTAAGAGACAAAGGAGATTTGTCCTTCATAGGCCATGTCCTCCAAACGATGCAGCCCCTGAAGATAAGTAAAGTGGCTTCAGAATAAAACATAAAGAACTCAAAGCTTCAAAAATAAAGACAAAACCAAAAATCTAAATATACAAAACAAGGTCCCAACAGATCCTGAATCTAAAAGGTCCATAAAAAGTCCCCTGACATGCAACATGATTTATAATGCACAATGTTATGTCACAGTATGACCTATAGTATGTGACAGACGTTTCAATCAGAACGTCAGGGCTCAAAAACACTCACTTAGCTGATTGCTTCTATAATAAACACCAGTTTCCCAAACTCATGTGAGAACTCTCTCGGCCGCAGCAGCCCAGACACATAAATACAATGCCATAGCTTCAGCCAGACGAGGCGGCACACTTTAAACACCACATGAGTCATATTTTCCCAAAACTAAATTATGTATTTATGTCAAAAGTGAGATCAAGCATCCTGTCATTGTGAAAATCTGTGGACCCATTTCCCCAAGCTTGTTTACACCCTGGTTTATCATGAATCAAAGAGTGAGGCGACATCACTTTCTTCTATAGTGTGTGTGGGCAGTGACAGATCACTTTCCTTAAAGTAAGTGAATATGTTAGAAGAATGGCTTTCTAATAAACTGTGGTGGTGTGCATTAGTCATGATTGTGTGTGTGTGTGTGTGTGTGAGTGTGTGCGTGTGTGCGTGCGCTTCTGTCGTCTTCATGGTGCCGAGCACAGCCAGAGGTCCGCTGTATCAGAGGCAGACCAATAAACCTGAGGATCAACACACGGATTAACTCAGATTGCTGCAGTTTCTCTACACCAAAGCAAACTCAGCAAGTCATTTAAACCATGCAAATTTCTCCTTTGTGTGACAAACACAAGATTATCTTACACAACCTTATTTTATGTCACAAATAAAGATGAAATGGCAGCATGACAACGTCATATCTTCAAGCATTCAAATTCCTTTGCTTTGCTTTCAGTCATGAGGTTTGGATAAATGAGTACAAGTTGAAAATAAATAACCCTAAATAATATTTTTTTTAGATGTAGTGATGTTTTAGTTGTGGAGCAAATGCAGTCTCTGAAGGATGCAGGATATCTTCTTCCACTGAGCCAGAAAGCTTTGCATTGTGTTCACAAATAATTTCATCAAAAGATCCACTCAGTCAATGTTCTGGAGCTTTCAAAAGCGTGGAAGAGTTTTCCTTTTCAATTATTAAATGAAAACTTAAAATGTGAATCGCAATGCATTTAATTGGCTGCCCTTCATTAAATTGTAAATCAAATGGTGTTGAGATCACACAGCAGGATCTGCAGTTTCAGTTTAACTGCATCAACAGATAAACATCATGTGAAGCTCTTTGCAGAATCTAATTAACACTGTTATCTGTGGAAAATACATAGTGCTCTATAGATTGTCATACTCAGTTTAAAGGATATAAACTTGTTTAGTCTTTGCTACCAGTGAAATGTTGATAAAACTAAAAGTGAACGTTTTTTTTAGTATGTTTTCTGTTATATACAACTGAAAAGATCAGAGCTCTTCCCTGTGAGTTTTTGTGTGGAGGAGGAAGTCAAGCGTTAGTCATCATCCATTCAAGTGGTAACTGTCCCACCACAGAGGCCATGAAATCAATAAAATGCATCGCTCCTGCAGCTCTGCCTTTGAAAAGTAGGCGAACCTCTGATGTTCATTAGCATGACTGACTCGCAGCATCGGATCAGAGACGATTTGGCAGAAAACCTCTCAAAGCCAGAGCTCACTTGTTTGCTCAATCACTCGCTGTCCCCAAACTTTCCCTCATTTGTGGCATGAATATTTAACTGATGCCATGAATATTGAAAGATCCTCACAGGCAGGTGTCCTGACTGTGAGGATCTAGTGAGCACTCAAAACATATATTCTTAGGTTCTTAGACCAAAAATAATCCAATGTATCATCTGATTGCATAATATGCAACAAAGCAATGTTTGCAAATGGGCTTCAGGTTTATTTTTATTATTATACGTGCAGACAAATTCAGGCAGCAGCCTAAAAATCCCTTTATGTTCTATCACTACAACAGTTAATCATCTTATATGAAACATTAGGCCTATGCGCCGCTGATCTGACCAAGCAGCCATGGTGGGGTGTGTTTGTTAATCTTTTTATGGCACCTGAGTTCTCGCCTTGGCTGAGTTCTGTCCTCTTCATGGTCCTGATCACAGCCAGGGGTGCACGAGATGCATCGAGCGGACCAACAGCCTCGAGGAACAACATGCCGATCCGTTAAAGCAGCTGCAGTTTCATCACACCAAAGCAAACTCAGCAGGTAAGTGGGAAGAACTGATATGATGAATGTAGTGGTGTAAAAGAATATGAAGTAGAAACAAACAGAGGAATACTAAAAGTATGTGGATAAAGGTATTTAGTAAGGTACTATCACAATGTCCTGTCCTTGCGTATTTAAATGTACTGGTTTTGCAGGGTTGTAAATCGAAATCTCTGAAAGTGTGTTTTTCTTTTGTACGTCTTCAGAAATTGTCTGATGCTATTGTCTCTTCAGGGCACAGTGTCCTGCAGCAGCACTCAATGAAGGGAACAAGTACAGTCAGTTACTGAGATAATTCGCATCCGTGCACTGGAGAGAACAGTTCAAACCCTTTTGAGTTGTAACAAGTCCATTGTTTCTCATAATACCACCCGACACATTCATATCAGCTGGAACATCAAGCTTTCATAATGAAATTAAAGATATTTCGTCAAATCACTGACTGTTTCCAAGCTTAACGTGAATATAATTCCAGTTGAGGAGGCTTCAATGGTGAAATGAAAATGATCTTAAAGCAGATTTTTGAACATATTTAACAGAAACAGACATATCAGCAGGGACCACTTGACAGTGAAGCTTTAAGTGAGCATCTCTGGGAGTAAAATAAAAAAATGAATACGCTTGGGGCCGTGCCCTTGTCAAGTAGAAAAGAGCATTTATGAAAATAAGCTTTAATTAGTCCTCAATGTGTCATACAATTCAGTCAGGGAGGCTATTCATCTGAATAATGATCATTTCACCTTCATGTATATTTCTAAATAATTTATTTCATACAGTTTGAGTGAAATAAGGTCACATTGTTATGTAGAGTGAATTGTCCTGTAATTATAACAACCTTTACATACACTGTACAACAAGTAATATATATATAAACATAAAAACTTGTGGCTTTATGTGGACACAACTGAAGCTTCCCAATACTTACAGTAAATTTGCAGCTTCACAACGCATTGCACCAGTGTAACACACATTGAACAGCAAAACCTCAGCTCTTAAATATGCACAACACAATATCCAGTTTGCAAGTACACAAAAATACATTATAGATACGTCAAGAGTTACTGTCAGTGCACATGAGAATGCTTGTTGGTTAAATATCCCTTTTTAATGACACACAATGACCATGTCAGCTCAACAAAGCACTAGAAGCTATAGCCTATCCACACAGTCACACTGAGCTGGACAACAGAAGACACGCCCCAAACAATGCTGCATAATGTCTCTGAATAAACTTTAAAGAATTGTTTTTGAGGATAATAGTAAATACAAAGTTCTCAAGTATTCAATGTTAGTTCAGTCTGAGCGTGAAGTGAATTCCAGAGGCGGCCCGTTTGCATGCAAAGTCAATGGTAAGAGCATTTCAAGATTATTTCAGAAATGTTTCAAGGCGAGAGAAAAATTTGCACAAACCCCAGGATTTCTTTTTAACAGCTTTAAAAACAGAGCGCAAACATGGAGGGAAATAACATGAGGAGCTTGGTAGCTTTGGTTTGCGTTCTGTCTGAAGAGAAGTAGGTTGAGAAGATGGGTTTTAAGTAAAACTGGACCTTCTCAATGTTCCCTCTTGCATGAATGCACAAGTGACCGGGCCAGTCATCCTTGTCAGCTTGCTTTGCATTTACATGAAGACCCCCCAACAGTGTCCGCTGACCTGTCGGGCTCAGCCTCCTCTAGCTGAGAAGTTTCAGTCTGACACATCAGGACGCACTTTTCATCAGCAAAGGATGAAGGAGCTGAAGTTGATTCCTTCCAAAGCATCACCAGGAAAGGTTCACATCCACCTGCTTGTGTGAGTCCTCTGTATTATGAATCTGTGCAGTGCTATAAGATGTGACGCTGGGCTTTCATTTTTATGCCTGACAATAAAACACAGACCACTACATAAACAAGCTTGTATATAAGATGATTGTATGTTCCCATGAAAGGCGTTAAATCTCACATTGCAATTACATGAACAGTTACGTTGACTTACAACCGGTGTTGTAGCCGCAGTACAATCAGTACGGCACAATGATCCACAGTAATTCATTACACTTTACACTGTATACTGACTGTACATTGTTAAGACTCCTCCCATGTAAATGTAAACATTCAAGGACTCCACTGCTTAAAAGCATTTCCTCTGCAGAGCTGCAGCGGAGCCCGGCAGCCGGTGGAGATTGGAGTGGAAGCGTCTCTTGAAAACACCCAAACAGGCACTCGTCAGTGATCAGCACGAAACTGCTGGAGCGCCTCGAATAGTCAAACACTTGAAGCCTATCACGGGCCCAGAATCACACAGAACAAGAGGGATGGACTGATAATAGGGAGGGCAAGGGGCAATCAGTCTCTCAAGAGAGTGATAGTGCAGAGAAGGGCATCTGTACTCCCAAACCATCATTGTGGATCAGCATCACAGCAGTCACGCGGCGTGAAGCCTCGTCCATTTAGCGTGCGTGGAAATAAAGTTTCCTGGTTTTCAGCCAGGCTGTCTTTTTCTGTCTGCCTACACGGTGAGGAAAACAAAATGTTGCATGCTGTTTTGTTCTTTTTGGTCGACTAAAAATATGCTTCAAAAGATTTTTTCCCTCGCCACTCAGATTCAGTGCTCGAACACAAAACCACAATGCATCTCTGGTACTTTTCTTCGTCTGCAATATTGCTGCATTCACTGTAAAAAAACTGCATCAGCTCCCTTTGTTTCTAACAGTTGTGTCTTTGAACCAGCCCTGTTCATTTGGAGCCGGAGCAATCCACAAAGTGATTTTTAATCATCATATAATTGCATCAGATTGTGTGTTTGCTGGTGCATTTCACATTTGGATCCTTCACATAACCCCATTATCATGAAACACTTGGCTTTGCCCAGTGTCAGGGCACATGGGGGACTTAATAACAATTAACCAAATGATCCATAATGACATGACTCACAATTTACCTGCACATGTGCACTGACTCATGAAGAGAAAAGTTCAGCGATCCTCATTCAGACGTGTGAAAGCTGTGCTCGTAAAGCTTTTTTAAAATAAGTGTGGAGATTGAAAGCTGCTCAAAGGCTGATGACTACAAACTACCTTTCCTTTTTTTTTATCACTGTCCTTTGTCCCTGTTCCACTCACATCCATGAATGCATCTCCAGTGCATGTGTTAACGAGGAAGTGTGTAACTCCTTTTATTCAGGAGCTCACATAAACAGTGGGTGTTCTGAAAGGCATGAGAATATGATGTATTTCTGTTTCGCTGTTGGCGTGAGTCACATGCTCGACAGGTCGTCGTGACAGGAGGACGACCCGCGGCGCGCTTTGGGGCTGCATCGTGTCAGCATGGTGATCTGGGTGCTGAAGTTGTTGCTGCTGCCAATAGACGGGTGTTGGTATTTGGTGTCAGAGCTCATATATCTCTGCAGGTGCCACCGCCGCCACTTCCTCTTGATCTCTGCTTGAACCTATGATGGATTAGAACAGTGAGGAGTCAGGGTGACACTTTAACATGTAATAACAGTGATTCACCACATTCAAGAGCCAGAGTCTCTCCGAGGTTGTTTCGCATCTTTTCAATGTTGTTTTGTTTCTCATTCTAGTCATTTTGAGTCTGTTTCCGCATCTCTCTGTTGTTCTTTTGCTTCTTTGTGCTCTTTTTTTTGTCTCATTTGGGTTGTTGTGTAAGTCTTTGGGGTGTTTTCAGGCCTAATTTCTGTCTTTTTTGTCTTTTTGTGGTTGCTATTTGTATCTTGGTGGTTGCTTTGCATATTTTTTTTAATTGTTTTGTTTCTTGTTTTTGTAATTTTGTGCCTCTTTTTGCGTCTCTGTTCTCCCTTTGTCTCGTTTGTGTGTCTTTGTAGTTGTTTTGTGTCTCTTTGTATTTATTTTGCTGTTGTTTCAGTTTTTCCAGCATGAAATGTTAACGGACACTTCACACAGAGGCTTTGGTGCAGGCACTTTATATCCTGGAGGTAACCTTCCTCTAAAATGTCTAATTGTCTCTTTTGTTCCCTATAATATCATTTTTCTTCCACTATATATTCAGAAACTAATTAAAACATCAAAATATACACATGATGCCTTGTATTATATATGATTGGTGAAGTTTTTTCATTTGCAACTTTCTTCGACTGACCTACATAAAAATGACTCAAAGGATTTGAGTTGTGTGGTTCAGAGCACCTGCATATGTCTTCCACAAAAAAGATGCTGTTGTGGTCCTTTAATGCATTTTACATTAAACGGAAGGAACACTGAGTGTTTGGCATGGCCACCAAAAGAAACCACAGCCGAAGAGACAAAGGAGAGAAAAGAAACAACCACAGAAAATGGAAGAAGAGAGTACCAGGTCTTCAAAAAGAGCACCCACACATAAGGAACAGAGGAGAGACTCAGGTTGTTTTCTTTCTTTCAGTCCAGCAGAAATACTTCATTATGTTGGACCCATATATTTAAACTGAGTTAAAAAAAAATCTAAGAACAGGACATAAAGAAAAATGCTGCAGTTCTGATTTAGTTGTTTACTTTAAAAGGAGAATGATCTAAAAAAAAAAAGTATTGTTATTAACTGACTTAATTATTAGGAAACAAACTGTTAACTTGTTGCTTTGCTTTGGATCATTTGGTCAGAATGGACATTTCCCTCCTCCCCTTGTTTTGTGAAGTGGATCAATTACCTGGTTTCCTGTCTTTATTAATTGGAGACTAGACCCTCCACATGTGGCTCATGCAGTAAATCAGCAAGTGTCCTTTCATTGATTATATCAGAAACTAAAGTGTCTCAGTTTGTTGATTTACGTGTCCCTGTTGAGTGTTGGTAAATGGACACTCCTTCTGAACTCATCGGTTGCCTGATAAAGCAGATACAACATCCAGCTACTCTGGTAACCTTTTTTAACCTGTGTGTAGCTTTTTCATATATTGTATATATCATAATTCTAATTATATACAGACCTTCATTAAATACTGGTCAAAACTGAAGTGGAAAGAAGAAGGAAAATAAATGAATCAAGCTCCACAAACACTCAGCTATTGGAGTCTATTTCTAATTGTATTAATACCAAATAATAATAACAATGAATGAAAGATAAAAATGTCCAGTGACTGATGTCTGTTTTACTTGTTATTGGTAACATTTAGTTTTAAATATGTCAATTTTATCTTCCTGCTAAATCTGTGTTCTTCTTTTGTCTGATTTTGTTTTCATATCTGTAAAGATTCCCATGAATATATCTGCCCAAGGCCAAACGCTTAACAAAGGACACCTGGAAATAGCGCTGGATTAAAATTCAGACAGCATAGTGTCAAGCCTTTGCCATCCAGCCCATCACTGTGATTCAATCTGGCCCTGCAGCGCGAACATAACTAATCTGCCCACAGAGAGCCTCCACAGACACCACTGAACAGCTCCTGCTGTCATAAAGGCTGTGCTTTTTCACCCTGCAGGCGAAGCATCAAAAATAAACCACGAGGAGGTCCAGGACGGTAGAGCCGGCCGGATCGACCACCACCCGTGACTCATGCTCACAGCTTCCTCCCTCCTCTCGGCACCGTGTTTGTTATGGTGCACCGGGGGAGCAACACTGAAACTTCAGATGAACTGGATTTACTGCAGCACCAGCGTGAGCTATCTCTGGCTGGGACTCTTCAGATTAAACTGGTGTCTTCATACAAACTGTCTACATTAGTGTGAGGGAGGTACGCACCTCTCCGTTCAGAAAGCAGTAGAGGACAGCAACCACAAAGCCCTGCGGAGAGAATAACAGATAAGAGAGCAATAACAGTTTGAAAGTTCCAGTAAAATCTCCTCATCTTGTCTATACAACTATTTTCCTATTTCAAGAGTAATATGTGGCATCCGTGAGACATATACATAGATAACACACATGGTTTATAGTAAAACTGAGAGGGAGGGATGAGAGGAATGATGGGAGGAATGTGCTGGAATGATTTCCTTGGTTTCCAGGGGATCTGTAACACAGCTGGACTGTCTGACTGCATTCTCCCTCATTCCTCATCCTTATGTGATGAACTGAAATAACAGCGAGGGCTTAAAACACCAACACTGCCACTGAATGGGCCAAAAAGCCTGGAAACCTGCCACCCTTTCCTCTGAGAGGGTTTCTTCAGCAGAAACACTCACAGGTCCGGGCCATGTTATTACTTTTACTGGAGCTTGAATGGAAAACATTTCTTTTCAGTATTGGTTTAACTTGAGGGAATTTATTTCACAGAGGTTATTAAACTTATAGAATTGTGTTATATTTGGTATCTTACCTGAAATGACCCGAGAATCAAATCAAAAATGAGCCGCAGCTCAGTCTTCACTTGCTCTGGGATGAATGCAAACACAATAAAATTGATCCCAAACAGCGGAATCAAAAGCAGCGTCGATTTTGCCAGTCTCCTAAAATTAAAAATTAGAAACAGATTTAGAGTTCTCCCTCTTTCCTGTGAAACCATTTTTATATCTGTCTTTGTATATGCCAAGAATTAAAAATTAAACTCTGGAGTACTTTTTATTTTTACATTTGAACTCAGAGGACAAAAGATGCAGCAGAAACCACCCTCTCAGGAAAAATCACATCTCCGCATAAAGCAGCTATAAAGGGAATACTACCCTCAGCTCTTCTTCAGGGAAAACCAAAATGATTGTGTATAAAAAATTAAAAGGAGTCAAATAAAGCAGGAGTGTATCTACAGGAAAATTATACATATTTAATCTCTTTGTCTTTCAGAGTAAACGGTGTATGGAAGGTTCCAAGTGTCCTCAGCGTGACCAATAACATTTCATATAATCTCCGCTGATGAAAGAAGATTCACAATATGAAGAAGACATGAAATTTCACTCACGAGTACTGGTTGGACTCATTTCTTCCAATATCTGGGCAGTTGATTTTCTGGCGAAGTATTCGAATGATGCAGATGAACAGAATGAAGTTCATCTGTGGAGAATATCCAAGTGTCATAAAATAAAATATTGAACATAAATGTTGAATTAGTCCCAAATGAAATTCCTTCAGAAAAACTTGTTCAAAAGAAAGTTAAAACATCTCTAGATGTTTTCACTGTTTAATTTAAAAGATTTGGAGGAATGTTTGAGAAATGTGTCTCATGACAGAAGCCAGATGTTACATTTCATCTCACTTTGATTGGATTGTGCATCGTGCACTGCAGGGGTAACGAGCATTTTTTAAATTGTTAATTTAGATTGGACCTCGAATGGAAATGTATCACACGTATAATGATGCTCTCACAAACACAAACATTACTCAGAGAGAAAGAGACAGAGCGGTCTGACAGCCAGGCTGCAGCTGAGCCTGATCCTAATGTGAAATAACACAACTGAATCTGCTTTGTCAACAACTGCTGCCAAGAAACAAACAGACAAAGCAGGACATCAATAACAGATGAGAAAAGACCGTTTGCTTTTTGTTTACTACACCACACATAGTTTGTTTCTTCAAATGTGCTTGTGCAAACACTAAATATCATGTCGTCGATATAATAGTTTGACATTTTGGAAATCGCACATTTGTTTTCTTAATTTCTTCACAAGCTTTACCTGAGAAGATCAATACAATACAATATCTGTATTACAATATGCTCCAGTCCAGTCACTGGAAACTGTGTCTAAAGAAACAAAATCCACCCACCAGCCCCTCTCAAGTTCACTGTAACATTTCATTATTAATTTACCATGATGTAGTGGGCTTAAGTTTAATTCATTTCTTTATTTATGGTTTCTTATCATTTTCAAGGAAGGAATTCACATACGCATTTCTGTCAATTTAGCAGGTTCCTATAGAGGAAAAAGGAACAAATGATCAAATTATTCTCCCGAGTCTTTTAGTCAGAGCACAGTAGGATGGCTGAACAAGAAACATAGTCATGCTAGCTCTATTTCTCTGTATCTAGGGAACAGCAAACTTAATAAAGTCAAAATTGATCACATTATTCTCTCAGTAGAAGAAGAAGATTTGAAAGGAGACAAAACTAAAGTCAATAAACTTCTGGGAACCTGCTGAAAGAATCGATAATTGCTATCATTTTATCTTTCTTAAGACCCTTCATCGGCCCCACTTTAACAGAAATACAAAAACACCAGGCCGTTCTATTGTCTCGATAGTGTCAAATAAGGTAGTTCTATCAAGACACCTCCACAAAATAAGAACAAAATCCCACATCTGTGCTGTGATGCGTTCACTGCTCTGTAAGTAATTCCTCCTCCCACCACTAACCATGCTCCACTGTCGCCTCTCAATTCATGCTTGTTGACCTCATCTTTACCTTCCTCTTCACACCTCTGTGAAAGTGCAGTTTTTTTTCACACAACGGAAGCGTGAGCTGTTCATACAGCGGCACAGCTGTTTTTTTTTCATGAGAGATAATGAAATAAGGAATAGATCTTTTTGCTTTCAAGTATGTATGTGAGATACACAGCCTGTAACCTGTGAGGTTATCTGACTTCCCCCAGACCCACTCATGTTTAAAGCTCACCAGTAAGTACATTTAATCTTCTTCAGGAAAAAGTGTCAAACTAGACAGTTTTCTTTTACTCTTTGGGTTTTTTGGGATTAAATAAGGAAACTTCAACATGATGAGTGAGTTTCAGAGTGAGTTGCACTGCAAATAGAGAAAACACAAACTTGCACAAAAACACCAAGTGGCAAAAACGACATCCAAAATATTTTCTGTATTTGCGTTTTTACTGTTTGCATGTGTTTTCTTAATTTGCAGTGCGTGGAGCTCTCAACCACTGTATATTACTGTGTTCAAAATGAAAAGAGGTTACAGTGAAGACTAAATTAATTGAAAGACGACCTGTCAGTCAATAAAAACAAGTTTATAGAGCTAACATTCTGCCAACTTTTCAATGTGAAACGAGAACGTCGAGGTCATGCTAACCACTCAGTTGTGCTGACATACTGTTGCACTACCCAAAAATATGTGGCATTCAAAAGCATTCACATAAACTACAATGACAGTTAAGTCTGCAGAGGATTGATGGTAAAAGACAAAGACGTTTTTTCTCTCAGCTACGATTAGTTTTTCTTCAGACTGTGTAACTTGCTGATGTACAAGAAATTGAGTGATTAAACTAAAAGTGCTAAGGCTTGTAAACTTACCAGGATTGATGCCAATATAGGTGTTTTAATGATCCACCAGTAGACATCAGTGTTCTCGATTATATCCCAGCACCTGACAAGATATAAAACAATATTCATGTACAAAGAACAAAATACCAGATTTCCTGGTGGTAATTCTCTGATGTTTTTCTTACCCCACATCTTTGTAGTAGGCTTTTGCGATGCTCCAAGCTGTGATGAAAATTGTCGGACCTCCTAGGGATGTAAAAAAACAACAACATAAAAGTACACAACAAAGTTATTACTGCATTCCTGTGGCTAGGGTCACAACCTGTAGTCTGTCTTCAGCTGAGAGCCGGTGGGGTCTCACTCTGGGACAGCAATAGAGAATAAAGACATGAAGGAAAGACATTCTCACCCCAGCCGATTAGAATGTAAGCCCAGAAGTACTTCCTCTCGGAGAAGAAAGAGACCGCCAACAATGCGTGAAGATAAAGGCCTTCCACCAGCAGCCAGAAGAAGCTGGCCATTATACAGTACTGGAAGAACACAATCACAGCTTTGCAGCCAACCTGGAAATGGAGACAGTACACAAAAGCAAAAGAAATTAATCGATGATCCTCCGAGATACGGAAGTGGATACACATTGAGCAAGAAATTACAAGGTCATTCATTTCCCTTTACTGGGGAAAGTATTTGAAAAAGGAAGAATGCACATGTTGATTTGAATCCAATAGAACACCTCAGGGATGTGATACAATGGGAGACTGGCAGCACTGTTGTGAATCTGATAAATCTGCAGACATTACAATCATGTTAACAGAGACCAGAATGTCAAAGAAACGTTTCGACATCAGAGGAGGATTTGAAAGAAAATCCTCAGTTATTGTATTTTTCTCTACAGGCATGCCAGAGATATACAGTAAGCTACATATGTAGATGGCGTGTGTAAGCTGCATGTCTTCATCAACCGGAGAGGATGAAGTGTAAATGCAAAATAGGCTTCTACAGATTTTTGTTGCAAGTAAAAGATGAGAGAGAAATGCTGCAAAAAGCATGCACGACTACATGACGTTGTATTCCGGTTGGTTGATAACACATTAACACAATCCTTCCACCATGACGGTGAATTCATTCAAAATTCAGTCTGCTCCTGTCGATCCTGCGGAGCGGGGAGGCTGCCGTTGTACAAGGACGAGTGTCAGACCTTCATTTTCCTAATGGTGTGGGTGGGTCGGTCTGGGCAGCTCTTTCACAACCCTTTCAGCTTGACACATTTTGCAACACACTTTCAGTGCATAGGTCCAAGGTTGATACACGCACACCATGAGCTACACACAAGATAAGAAAAATGATTTCATTGTCCCCAGAGTAAAAAAATTGCCCATGACAGTGAATGTGCTGAGACCTTTTGAAGTAACCAAAGTGAGGATGAAAAGGGAGGAAAGGGGGACATGCCATGAGTGTGGGTGGGATGGATGGATGGATGGATGGATGGATTAATGGATGGATGGATGGATGGATGTGGTGACTGGTGAAATGAAAAATAGAGAAAAATAGTAGTCAACAAAGATGTGATATGAATGAAATGTATGAATAAGAATGAGTAGCCGGGAGCCACAGCTCCAATTTTTCTCAGCTCACCCTTGACCAACAAGGACAAACGAGTGATGGTATAATGCTGGAAATGCCACACCTCTTCTTTCTAGTTCACATGCTAAGAATGATGAATGAGTGTGAAAGTGTCACATGAAAATGAACTGGAGCGTCCTGTCCGTGCCGCGGACGGGGAGAGGGAGTCTTCATGGACCCGGGCATCATCGATCACCTCTGACGACTGAGGAAGTGGTTGTCGAACAGCTTCTCATTCATGGTTCACTAACGCTGCTCTTTTACCATTTTCATTCGATAATAATGTCGGATTATCTCAGAATATTTGGTCGACGTTAAATTGATTACAGAAACGCTATAGTCCTGCTTTTACTCCATTTGTTTTTTATTTTGCACTGGTGGTGTTTTAAAATTAAGATTTGAAGCACCTCGGCTGTGATGAGTTTTTAACATATAATAGTTTTGAATGGAATTAACTGTAGCCGTGTATAAAATAGTTGAAACTAGAAAGTTAACTAATTGCTGCAGTCTAAAGAAGATTACGATTTTCAGATTAAGCAAAAAATCTAGTTTTACTTTGTGGAATGTGTGAATGTTTATCAGATCCTGGCATGAAAATGAATACGAGAATACGAAATTACATAAAAAACCAACAATGAAAACAACAAATATGACAAAAATAATTGAAAAATCCCTTTTATTATGAGGCCTTGAAGTTTATTTTACCTATCTGGCTTAAGATATACAATTATTTCCCTTTAAATTAATTTGTGTTTGTTAGAAGGGAAACGTATTGTCTGTATGAAGAACTGCCAGTCTGAATTTAGTGCCACTGATATGCTACAAAATGAGGATTTCATCAGCTTGAAGGAAAGTAAGAAGCCACTCGATTTGCACACAAATGAGACTGGGGAGATTCCGCTCTCTGAGTATCGAGCCCTCACTGATAAAAGCTGTCTGAGTCCAAATGGTTTCATGGGGAGTTAAGGGGTTCATGTTATCACTTTACTTTTACTTAAGTTAAAGATCCAAATGTTTCTGCTGGTGAAATGACGATGATCTACATAACCATGTAGGCAATCATTTTCTTTTCAGGAAAAATGTTGATGTATTGACAAACACCTTAAAGGAAAAAAAAGAAAATTGACTCATTATCTACTCACCACCGTACTGATGGAGGGATGGGTGAAGTGTGAGTCCACTAAACACTTTAGGAGTCTCAAGGGGAAACAGAATCCAAAACAATTGAAGTCAATGGTGACTTACACTTCAGACGTGATAAAACAACTGAAAAAACAGAACATGCCTCCACACTGCTCGTGTGGTGTCATCCAAGTGTCCCCAAGCCCTTACATTCATATTCGACTCGAAACAGCGTCATTTAGTTCGTGATTTGAGTCTAAAAGTCCTCTGATATCTTCCTACGAGGTTTGTTCACAGACCCTCTGACACACAATCCCGTAGCTACGTCCATTAGCTATGTCACTTCCAGTGGACTTTTAGGCTGAACACATGGTGCAAATGACCCGCGGGGCTTGCTGAAACTCGGATGACACCAATCGAGCAGTATGGAGGAATGCTGTGAATTTTCTGTGTAAGTCACCATTGACTTCAAGTGCATTGGATTCTGCTGCAACAAAGTTTACTTCTGAGACTCCAGAAGTGTTTTGTGGACTCAAACACTTCACCCACCACTCCATCGGCATAGTGGTGAACTATCCCTTTAGCACAACTCTGCCTCTCATGTAAGTGTGGTTACATTGTTGAATTATTGATGCAAACCAAGAAAGGCATTGACCCAGTGTTGTTTTGTTTGGATTTACAGTTTCACGACGGAGGATTTTAGCAGATTACATAAAAATTATTCCCACTTGGCATGTGGAGGGGAGAAAAAAGAATTCTACTGCAGTTCTGCAGAGAGTAAATCAGTACAAATAGTTCACTGGAGCTCTATTTTTAAAATGGGGATGAATGATGAGATGTTTTGCTGGTGGGAAAACTAAGAGAAAAAGATGGATTTGAATAAACAGGCCCACACAGAAACACACAGGTGCATTAAATAATGCATCGATTCAAGCTTCCCCACAGCGGTCATGTCATGAATTAATCTAACGGGTCACAACATTCAACTGTAAAAGAATAATAATGAAGCAAACACCTAGAGCACCTACAAACACACGAAGAGAGACAGTAACTGACTGAGTCAACAGTAGTAACCAAAGTAATGTCTCTTTTAGTCGACCCACGGCAGCAGCTGTCTACTGTCAACCCAGTCGTTCCATTAGTACTCTGAAGCCGCTCGGAGAGTTCACTATTAAATACACTGTGAGGCTCCTCTTGTCTGTGGCCACACTGTGTAATATAAACCTCATGTTTACAGTGTTTACAGGCTTAACTGTGGCCTCGGGGGCCCACTGCTGCTGCTGGTGGCACAGAGAGCTGACGATGAGACATCCAAACATTGTGGTTGTTTGATATATGTCCCAGAACAAATGAGCTATAAAGGGCCTGTAAGCTTCACATAACTAGAATTTAAGATCTTAAGTGTGTGATCCTGTTTTTTAGGATTTGGAGAATTTTTGAGTGCTCTGGTTTCTGTTTATTTCTTTGGAGGTGAAATTAAGCTTGAATAGATCTGCAACGAAGTCAGTCTGATATTCTGGTACTGGATGACTCGTTATAAAGTATGTCGTAGCATCACACCAGAAAAGGGGAAAAAGAAAATGTGCCTGTCCACTGAGTGTTGTGTTTCCATCCATTGCTGTTGATTGGAGCTGGAGCTGTTAAATACCCCTGACTGCTGCGTAACCATTGTGTACCCAGTATCAAATAGTGTGTTAGTGAGGGTTGTTATCCAATGTGAAAGGGGCGAAACAACCTTAACGTTGCTCATTCCTAAAGTTGGTTTCTTTCTCTGCTGCATAATAAATGCAAATGATCAAACTAGCTGAACATTTGCTAAGAAATCATATAGAAATACCATCCTTTCAAATGCAAAATGGCCCACTCAGTTCATATCCAGGTTAGAATTCTTTCCATAGTCACATTTAAGGGATCATTAAATGATGTATGTGCTCAAAGTAGTGATAAAATAAACATTCTCTTTATAGTGCCTGTGGTATAAAAGATGCATTCAATTCAGAAAATAGTATTATGCCAGATTTCATTACACAGATATGATTACATAAGCTATTTGAATGCGATGGATGGGAGCTGTTACTAACGTTAACTCTGCTGTCTGCACCAGTGAGACTCATCATTACAACACCACAGACACTATCAACCTGATTAACAACACACAATTCTGAATCTGTGGATCAACTCAGAACTATTCTGGCAAAGAATCAATAAATAGAATGTTATAAAAAGTCAAAAGTTATGTTGGAATTTAGACACACAATTCACAGAACGTGAATAACACAATACAACATAATACATGGTGTAAAGACAATAAATATCTGTACAAGAGAATACCAAGCTTCACTTTATTTATCATCAGTTTTGGTCTCCACAACAGGAGACCAAGAACTTTATCTTACGATACTAATCTGTAATTTGACTTAAAACTTTGACCCTAATCCTCCAACGGGTGGATCCTTCTTGGACCAACCTATCCCAGGATTCATTGCGCATTGGTGTCAAAGCTAAAGGGACTAGCCGTTATGTTGTCTGAGCTGCAGTAAGCAGAGTACCTGACGATGCAATGCACAAGCTGGTGATGCAATTAAGAAATCTTATATCCTAAATCCGTTTCATTTCAGCCGTGCCTTCACAGTCACCACATCCTCTGAAGACAGCAGCCCCTGACTCCTTTAGGGTTCAGGGACACTAAGGACTCCCTGAGTCGTTTCTCCCACCACAGACAGCAGCATTTTGTACGATGAACTCACAGAGCCTGACGAGCAGTTGTCCACTTCCCCGACATCGTAGAGCACCACATCTTTGATGAACACGGCGATGGCTTTCAGGATAAATGACACAAACAGATGCATGTGGATGTAGTTCCTTGTGCAATGGAGCTTCCTAGGACAGACAGTAAGAGATGCAGGATTAGAGATCAAGATAAAGAGACACACACACACACACACACACACACACACACACACACACACACAAAGGTCTTCATGCTTATTATCCGATGCCCATGGCGTTAATAACATAAGATGACATTAAATCACAGACTGAATTATCTCATAATTGAGCTCCTCGGTTTCTTTTTGTCACCGTGAGGTTGAGTCTGGATCAAGAGGACGTCACAATCTTGAGTGTATGGCAGTTTTTTATAGATATTTACATCCAAGCCATCAGATTCACACTGAGGAATAATAAACCCCATCCTACTAGTACCCGTCTGCTTCAGGCTCACATATGTTGATGGTCTATTTTTTGTATCATGGCACTTATTCCTGAGAGCACAAAATATAACTCTCCTGTGTACACAAAACATGAAAAGCAGCTCTCATCAGTCACCGGTGCATTAGTGGCAGAGGCAGAATATAGAAGACATATGAATAATGCAAAAATCAATGTCCTGCAGTACAAGAGAAACTAGAATTACTGCCCTGCGGTTGTATGCCTCCCCCAGCCAGTGCAGTTTCATATAATTCTTTTGTTCAGACTCATGTGAGGTCACTGTGACCTTGACCTCTGTAAGATAATCAATTAATCTTTGAGTCCAGGTCAAATTCCTTCACAGTGTTCCTGAGAAGTCTCGTCCACAAGAATGGGACAGGCAGGGTTAGAATAGATCGAGGGAGCGATGGTGAGTGATGTGACAAGGAGAATTATTTCATAGTAAAGACGAAAGAAAAATGAAGAGCAACAGAATAAATTATAAAAATAAAATCTTTCAGACATAGTTCTTTGACGTTTCCTTGTAACATTTCTGGAGGTTAAATGCTCATGTAAATGAAGGAACGACCTTCAGAAGGACAAGTACTCTTCTGTAGCCTACTGTGTGATTCATACTGCATATATAATCTATTCATGTCCCTCCACATGTAAATGCTTTAGTCTCAGGCTGCTCCCTCAGTCAGTCTTACCAGCAGAAGTGTAATTTTTATTGAGCAAGCATCAGTCAAACAGTGAACAATTCAGTTCAGATGTTTCATCAACAAACTGCTGCTGATGCGTACCGTCAAACGATTAAATCGAGCCTGAGTGACAATTCATTTTATTTAGAAAGTGTTTGAATCTTTCATTCTTTAAGCTGAGCCTTTTATTTCTGCTCAGATGTGAGGCTGCATTGATCTGACATTATCGTCTCCCAGTTCTGATGCTTCACAGTGAAATGTTGCCGACATTACATCACAGCAGGAATAGCGTCACTGTGGCTTTGTGCAGCTGGGACTTCTCTTTTTTTTTCATCCTATCCTTTTATCCGTTTTCTATAACTGACCATACAATGCCAGGGAAATTGTTTAAGTACAAAGGATTAAAAATTCTTGTGGAAGGGCAAAAAGAAAAGATAATTTTAAAGCTTTCTTCCTTTCATCAGTTTAGAAGTTTTGTGTCATTGGGGTGACATACAAAAAGATAAATCTGTAAAACAATAAGAACATAAATGTGGAATTTCACATTACTTTCACATTTATATATAAATGTTCTATTTACTAAATATTAAAAAAATGTAATGTAAGTTTACTTTTATATTCCTTTTATTTATCTTTCCAAATGTTTCCAAATTTATTGTCTTATATTTTCCACATTTCCTTTTTTATTGCACTCCTTTGACTCCATATTAACTATACTGGTTCATGATGAAATAAACAGCAGATTACTTTAAACTTCATGTACCTAAAGATGCAGAGGATCACAATAGCTGTGGTGAGAGAGATGAGGGAAACACTATGGCCGATGGTGTAGCCAATCTTCACTTGCCAGAAAAACTTGCCCTGCGTAAAAAAAGAAGAAAACACCATCAGTACAAAATCAAATACAAAACAATCAATCAATACAAGTCACGGTGAAAAAAACGGAGAAATGTTAGAGAACTTTTAGAGACTGCTACAGTTGTTTTGGGTATAAATAATAAAAGTAATAATTTGAAAAGAAAAAAAGGTTCAACCCAGTGATTTAATGCCATTTTGTTTTGTCTGTCACATTAGTCACATTAGAGTGTCGAGCCAAGTGAACTCAATGTGATTTGAGGAGATGATTCTAGCCAAACTCCAATAGGGGAAATAAATGTTATCTGCTTTTTGGCTTCTAAAAATGATTAAGAAGGGGAACAAGCAAAAAACTTGGCACTGTTCTTAAACTGAAGGCAGACGTGTGAGTCATGAGGAAGACTTTACAGCAACATTAAGATGCTGAGAACAACACCTCTCCTATCCTAATCTTCATTAAATCAAGTAAATGTAATGAAACACCCTTGTAATCTCCTGAACAGATGCAAATATCACATCTGTGAAGGAGAGTAGACACCAGCAGCCTTCATCAGTCTCACTGAGCTCATTTAACAACGTCCTAATGTTTTAAGTGAAGATTTCTTGAACTTTGTCTTTCTCGCCTTAAATAATCAATAGAACAGGATCCACTGACATTCACCAAGGTAATGGTTGTCATTTATTCTAATAGAGTCTTTCGGAGCACGTGGTTACTGCCATGGCAAAGTATGTTTTGTGCTTGATGAAAATGACATGTAGATATAAAGAGTAGAAAGACGGACATGGATTTCCTTTTAGAGGAAGGTCCCTCCTGACTTCATAGTAATGAGGCAGCCTCTGAGGCTCAGGGAGCAGCATACCCACCAAGACGGCTTTTACAACCCTGTTCTGCACATCCACACTTCACCCTGCTCCACTTTACTCAGCACAAAGGTTCTCTCTGTGCATTTACACTAAACCCCTAAAAACAAGACCAACATTTGATGTATTTATTGCCCTCCTGGCCTTGAAGGCAACAATAATGACTGTCAATGAAAATCGTGTGTTTCTGCAACAAGCAAATAAAGATGGATGCTGAGTTACTGGTAGGTTCAGTGTATTCAGAGTATTTTTTTGTTCTTGTAATGTCTTCATTTCTTTAGGAACTTAAAGGAATAGTTGTTGAAAGCCTCACTCAATCCCCAACAAAACAAACTGCAGTGTAACTTTCACATCTCTAAAAATTATTTAGGAACATTACACATTTAAATTTAATAATAATTGAATGAAATACGATAATTAGAAACAAAATTGCAGTTCCCTACGTTTTAAATCCCTCATAAGGACATTCAAACTCTTTTGAATTGTTGACACATCCAGTTGTGTTACAAATAACCCAAACATTTGAGACAATAGCAAATACCATAAAAAGGGTCAAATGAAGGTGCAGAACAAACGAGGGAATCATGGAGTGGTGAAACCGACAGTATATCAGTGCAGCCACTTCCCTGATGGACCCAACACTAACCCACAGAGTAAATACAAGTCATTCTCCAACCTAATCCCTTCTACCAATGGGCTTTCCAGATGGTTTCCCACCGTGCTGCTTAGCTCATTCACTGCAGGACCACTGAGTATCTGTCCCGCTGGCTCTTATCGACCACAGCAGTTCACTCACATCATCGCTGGTGCTGTTCAGATTGTATCCACAGTTTACGGCGATATCAATGGGCCTCATCTCGGTCCAGCCGTTTGCCGTGCAGGTTTTGGAGAGGTTACCTGGAGACGAAGAAGACATGCAGAGGTCACCTAGGCTGTAGAATTCTTCTTCATCTGCTCACCAGTATAAGTTTAAAATCGACACTTTATGTTCTGTGAGACGGACTGTGAACTTTGCCACTGAAATCTCTCACTGGTGAGTTTCCTGCAAACAACTCTTCAAACTGCAGCATGACTCTCTGATGTGCCCTTATTGACTTGTGCATATCTGTGCCTGCAGAAAAAGCATTTGACTGTTATTGATCTTGACATTTTGATCCCTGTCTTGTTGCTCATCTCATTGCAAATAAAGATCACCAATCTCTGGTTACAAGAAATATGCAATGTGAGCATACATTAACATTATCAGAGCAGAATGGCGCCAGAGCACATAAGTCCGCCAAGGCCGAACAATCCTACACACGATGACTGACTTTATTAATAGATAAATTTGATCAATAAATAATTGAATGGTATATCTGCTCAAACAGGGGTTGATGGTTAAACATAGTAATTAAAAAGTCTTATTATCTTTTTGAAATTTTTCAGATGTTTTGTATTTAATAGTGGCTGAAATGTTCTGTAAAGGGAGCACGAGAAAAAGTCTGATATTTGGTTTATTCATGTGATTTATTCATGGTTTATTCATTTACGGGGCATCAAAGGTTCATTTGTGATCAATGTGACCGACAGCCAAGTTGCTCGGTGCCTGTAAAACTTACCCATTAGGGCCAAATGTTATATGCAGGTAATGAGCTGTGGGGGGAAGCAAATGAAGCGGAGGAGGGTATGTATGAAAGCTGCTCAGTCAGAGAAAGGTCACGTGATTCAAATGTCACGTTTTCCATCAGTGATTCGGCAGCATTTGAGAATCGTGCTGGAAGGATGTTATTGAATTGTTCCTTATCGAATCCGTCCCTCTATTAACCAAACACACTTATATGGGTGTGTGTCTGCTGCACACACACACACACAAACACACAAAAACACACACACATCTCATTAAACCAACATCCTTCCTCTGCTGTCACCATACAACTTTTCAGAGGCTTCTGGAAGTGGTGCATTGGGAACGTGTGGGCTGAATAGCCCTGAGGTTCCTGAATGAAACATTGACTAAAGTAGAAATAAACTCATCTTTCAGACCCGTAGACTCTGGATGATTCACCACCGATCTTTTCAACAGATTTATTGCTGCATTGTTGAATATTGCAGACGGGTACAGAGGAAGGAAGAGAGGGGAAAGAAAAATACCTGAAATTGAAGTAGTTGTGCCTGAACTCAAGGCTGCTGCACAGACAGAAACATTTTCTCCTCAGAATATTAGAGATTTAATACTTATATACAAATAAATATATATACATAGTGAACTTAATTATGTAATGGTTCTTTCAAGTGGTTCTCAAGCATGAAAAGTTGATTGCAGCGGCTATTTTTGTAACCAGACCAACATGTTATGAGATAAAGGCATTTGTATGAAGGATTGATTGATGCTCACTTACTTTGGTTTGCTTATTGAAGGTATATGGTGACAAACTCATATCAGGCTTTCAATAATGAAGCTAAATGAAAAGTCAGAGGATCACCGCTCTCGTTGGGAAAGCCTGAATCCAAGAGAGGCAGCAGCCTATAGACAGCAGATGTGGAGGGAGAGCGACCACTGGCTGTGCAATGCCAAGCTCAAATGAATCCCAAAGTGGGGAATCAACAACAAGGCTAAGTGTCCCTGTATCAAGACTCTCCAGACCATTGACCAGTTCCTCCATGGGTGCCCACTGGGTCCCATTTGCTCTGAAAAAGAACTGAGGGAGACAAACAAGTCTGCCGTGGAATGGATACGACACTGACACAATGAGATATGTTGATTGTCATCACCAGATATCACCAGAACAACGCTGCCTGCTAAAACTGAATCAGTCAAACATTAAGTCAAACTTCACAACTGTATTTGAACCATAACATTTGAATTATTAGAAATAATGAATCATGTGATTATTAACCCATTTAACAATTTATGTATCTTTTTTTCTTTACTACTTGTTGCTTAGTTCTTATATTTCTTCATTCCGGCAGAGAGGTATTAACAATATGGAAAAAGAAGCTTCCGGACAGAGAGTCCAATTACTGCAGCTTCTTTTACAGGATGAACGATGATGCAGGTTCTGATGCCAGCAGCTGTCACTACATCCTCTTGTGTGCGACAGAAGAAAGAATAAGTGGAGCTCTGTCAGCAGCGTCGAGCTATTTGCAGAGAAAAGAGGAATGACCTCATCGAGCAGAGTCATGGTCACCTGAGTCAACACGTCTTTCTACACAGGGTGCATCCTCAGCCGTCGTTTTACTTAAACCAAACTTCGGGCCATTCGTGTTGTGGATTTCTGTCGTTATAGAGAACTTCAATTTTTTCTTTTTTGTCAGTATTGACTGCACCTTATCGGCAGAGCTAGGAAATATAGGTTTTCCTGAAATATCTACACAATCAGGGGTAGGTGAATGATTAGACATACTCCTTGTTGCTTGATGGATGACAGCAATGTTTTCAGATTTGGTTTCCAACTGTAATAGATTCAGAGTTTTCAAACGTGGTGTTGCACTGGGATGGCATCAGCTCGTTATTTATTATTATTATTATTTATATTGATTTTTGTGTTTTTTGGAAACTCAGTAAGTGTTTGAATACCTGTAACTTTTCCTCAGCAGCACAGCATGTGCCATCAGACTGGTGCCGACTTTGGAATCATAATTAAAGCCCAGAAAGTAATGAGATGATATTTACATTTTGAAAAAGGATAAACAAGAAGGGAATATACTTGATATTAACTACGTGTACACATCACAGCTGCCTCGTGTATCCTGCATACGTTTGGTGTGTCGGTTTTGCACGTTCTCAGAAATGAATGGTACACGTCCACAAGATGCAATGATTGGGGCAGGAGCTCTCCATTGTCACATTGTCGTTGATTAAGAGCCTCATTTATTATCTGTGACATAATCTTCATTTATGTCAGGCACTGTCTCATTAATGTTGTAAATATTGTTTGTTTTCTGTTGATAAACTCTGTTACATGCAAAAGTTGATAGATTCGATAGATAGATAGATAGATAGATAGATAGATAGATGGATAGATGGATGGATAAATAGATAGATAGATAGATAGATAGATAGATAGATGGATAGATGGATAGATAGATAGAAGGACAGATAGATGTCTTTTCATGCTGCTCCCTCAGGTCAGAGCAGTCAGACTGTACAAGTGTCCTCTTCACCTGGAAATGTCAAAATGGTGAAAACTCAAAGTGAGTCAGAAAGACAGATGGATGGATGGACGGAATAACAGTAAAGAAGAAAGACAGAATGAGCTAACCCAGTCAAAGTCTCCAGAGAAGTTCACCTCCAACTGTTAATGTCTTCATTTATTTGCCTCAAGTTTAATTCTTTCATTATTTTCACATAGCACTCATTCACTTACACTAACCTGGCAGCTACCAATGCTTTACTATCATAGATAGACTTCCTCCATTATTCAGAACTGTAGTATTGTCACCATGACACCTTAAAGACACTGAAAATGTCCTCCGGGCACAGAGAGACACTACTTCAATTTCACATGTGGAAGCAGGAAAGTGGCTGAGATGGATCAGTGAAAAAATGTCCAACATACGTCAACATCTATACCGGCACCTGAGGAGAAGGAGGCGTCCACACACAGTGCCGTTGACCTGTCCTCCAGGCATGTGTCAGACTCTCCAGCCGTGCCAGTGCTGCAAGTCAAACAGTTTCCACAGTTGCCTGCTGCCACAGACAAAGAGGACGCAGGCAACAACACCCTCCTTCTGTATGGAGCTGATTGCATCTGAACGTTAAGTAGCACTTTCACAGAACAGCACCAAAGAGTCACCTCAACAAATCCATCAAACTATCCTAATATCTTGCAAATCACTGTAGATGTGTATTAATATCTTGCACAGCCAAGTATACATTAAATATATCTTCTTAATTCACCTGTACTGTTTTTATATTATGGTTTGTTATATAAAATCGTAGTATATGGTATATTGTATTATATTATACTGCACTATATCATGTTACATTACATTACATATTTTTATATTATATTTATATTATTTCTTATATTCTTATTCACTATGCTGTTATATCACAACATATTATGTTAATTCTTCTGTATTACATTGTGTTACCATGTTATATTATACTATGCTGTGCTTTACTATACTACACCATGCTTTATTACAGATTTTGATTTTTTATTATGTCTGTTCAGTTTTTCTTTTTTCTTTTAATATGTGTTTTTATTTTCTAATATGTCATTATGTCATTAGTGTACCTGCTGCTATGACAACTTAATTTCCCCCATGGGGGATTAATAAAGTCATCTATCTATCTATATAAACTGAGCAGCGAAAAAAAGACAATCAGTGCGTCCACAACTGATCTGCCAACATCACGTCTTGATGGTTGGGAAACTAAAACCACTTTAAAGTCTTGTTGACGGCTGGTACAAACAATGGAGTCTGGAGTCAAAGTCACACGCTTTGTCAGTCCAGAGAAAGCCTTTTAGTCCCGTTCACGAAAAATAAAAAAATTATAATCATTACAATTTCAATATGGCCTTCACACTGTCAGTGCTCGGGCCCTAATAAAGTATAATTCAAGAAATGATTCATGTCAGAGGAATATCAACTCTTTTGTTCCTTCTTCCGTCCACTTGAATGTAATGTTATGTGTTGTGCTATGATTGCTACACATTGTATAATCATGCAGATGAGCATGTATTCATCTCTCACAGTGATTCATTTCTGTGAAGGCCACTGAGCACTGAAACATTCCCATTTCAGTAAAAGTAATATGCTGATTGTTCATGTGATGAAAATGTGCATGTACTTTCTCAAATTCCATTTATGTTTCTGTGCATTGTATTCACTCGCCCTTTGTGGTCAGAAGTACGCCATGTTCAGGAATATCCTTCAATCTCATCTTCAGAAAATCACTTTAAAATGAT